GTTTGCCCTTTTGACAATGCTTTAAGCAGGAGAAGATAACTCTTGGCCCCACATGCAAATGGAGAATAAGTGTATACTTTTTTGTACACTCCCTAATGTAAAAGATGCTTTTGAAGAAATATCAGTAATCTAATATGTGCAGGTGGCATCATATTACTGCCAGAGAGCAGCAATGATCTGAAGTGACTCCTGATTAAATGAGAGAAGTGGGAAAGCAGGGTTGCAGTTGAATACTAAGACAAAAATCATTTCTACAAAAGGATTACATCACTTTAATGTTGACAGTGAGGAAATCAAAATTGTTAAACATTTTCTGTGTCTCAGTTCAGACTTCAGTCCAGAGAGTGCAGTCAAGAAATCAGAAGGAGAATCAGACTTGGAAGGCCAGCTATGAAGGCAGTAGAAAAGATCTTAAGGTGCAAGGATGTGTAACTAGAGGCCAAAACGAACATCATCTATACCATGATGTTCCTTATTGCTATGTAGGAGTGTAAAAGATGGACGGTGAAAAAAACTGACAGGAGAAAAAATCATTTTAAATGTGGTATTGGAAGAGAGCTTTGCAGATATCATGGACCTCCAGACACACAAGTAAGTGAATTCTACAAAAACGAATAAAGAGAGGATATTGTAGTGGGTACTGAGAAAATAGGTCTCATTGGAAAATACAGTAATGCTAGGAAAAGCTGAAGGCGTCAGGAAAAGAGGAAGTTAAAGTATGAGCTGGATTGATTCAACAAAGGAAGACACAGTCTTAAAACTGTTGGAGCTGTGAAGAGCTATCCACAATAAGACTTTCTGGAAGTCACTAATTCATAGGGTTGCCTTAAGTTGAAAACAACTTAATGGCACACAACAACATTCATGTGAAACTTAACATCCTTGGTTCATTGAGAAGAAGCAACAGATTTCTTCCATTCCTGCCAAGAAATGGAAAAGTTTTTGGCAGTTCTATTTTTAAGGAAACATAATTGTAAATGCACATAACCTAAGAAGCCTGCACATATTTGTCAGCCATTTTGCAGCTGTAGTCTCATCTTAAAGACCTGCCTTTCTTGAAAAAATCCAAATTCTGACAAACAGATAATAAGGTATGGCAGCACTATCTCTCCAGCAAATTGTCAGTGAGTGGCATTCACTAGAATTTCTGAATTTGCTCTTAACTCAAGTCACATGACGTCAAATGAGGCTGAGCTGAATGGGTCTGTTTTCTGATGCATCCATGTAGAATTAAATTTATTTTTAGTGGGTGTGTATACCTTTTTCTTGTACTGAATTTTTAACTTTTGTAAGGTGCCCAGAGAAGGTTATTCTGTTATTGTTTTTAAGGAGGTAAATATTGTATAAATAAACAAGGGAGTGCTGCAACGAGGCAGTGCATGTCTTTGTCCGTAGCCTTTCCCACAAAGTTTGGCTGATGCAGGAAGGTGTGACAGCAGCAGTTTCCACCAAGCTGTCTCCACTTCTCAACCCTTTGCCTCACCCTCACATCCTGCAAACTGAGGTCTCCCGAATCCAATCCTCTTGCCACCTAGACCAAATAATCTTTTTTTGAAAAAGCTGCATGAGTCTTCTCTGTAGTTTCAACTGTTGGCAGATATAACATCCTGCATAACATTTCCTTCTTCGGTTTGGATCTCATCTGGCTGTGTTACGCATTTTCAAAAAGCACCTGGATCATGGTGCTGGATCCAATCTTTGTCTCTTGAAAGCAGCTTGTTTGGACAGAACAATATTTCCACACCGCAGCTATTGTGTGAAATTCTAGGCCTGGGACGTCTTCCTTCCTATGCTTTAAATCTGTTAACAACAGGCAAGTCATTGTTTTGGAATCTCAGCAAGCAATGTCATCTTTTTGCTTCACAGCTGGTCCATCAATGTTGTACAAAGCTACGTATACTAGCTGGACTTCTTCTCTCTCTCCCTCCATCACCCTTTCATGGTAAAAACATCTGAAAGAGCTTATCTTTTTGCCAGTGGGAAAACTAGGAGGAAAAACTGCAGACAGAAATCCCTAACACTGTATAAAATAAAGGAAGCTTTTATTGGCTGGGCTGAGGAAAAATATGTATAACCTTAATATTATTGTGCAGAAACAGATGGAATTCTTACTGAGAAAGCTCAGAAAACAAGCATTCTGATAACATCATCATCATCATCATCATCATCATCATCATCATCATCATCATCATCATCATAACAACAACAACATTATCAATTAAATATGATTATTTTAATGTAATAAAGAAATGACTTAAGTAATTTCTCATATAAATAACGTTTTTCTTATTAACTAACCAACATCTTGAACATGAACAGCCATATTTGTACAGATATTTTTAAAGCACCTCTTTTCATAAGGCTGATTCTTCCACTAACATTTACCATAAAGCCGTTTACAGCACCAAATATATTGTGACATGGGATTCCACTTGAAGTCCTGTTTTACTTCAAATTCTGTGCATTCATACTATGCACAAAAGCACAGAGTAATGGAGTTGGAAGGGGCCTATAAGGCCATCAAGTCTAGCTTTCTGGTCAATGCAGGAATCAATCAACTGCTTCAGCAAACTCTGGGTCAATACTGGTGTAGCCTCGGTACCACGAAGCAAGTGTTCTAGAACAACTCTAAGAATACTGCGTCAGAAGGATACAAAGATCCAAAGACCCCAGGAGTCAAATGGGTGAATACAGGGGAGTGCAGTCTAACTGTGTATTCTGGCCCCTGTTACATATCTCCTTATGTCAGAACATTGAGTAATTCATAGGAAACGAGTGCAGTTCTTTTGACACAGGTTTAATATCCATATAACTGGGTGCCTCATGAAGCTGTAAAGCCAATGTATTCTACTCCAGCCAGCGTTTCTGAACTAAGCACAAAAGTAAACCCACAGAAGGTTTGTTAGAGTACTCCAATACATTTAATCAGTATACACAAGATTACATGGAAAACAGCCCAATTATATGCAAGTTAACTTGACACTACATCTTGCTTAGTTTAATAGGACTTCTAGGGAAGTGAGTACAGAACTGAAATCCGACAACGGAATTTTATACACAGTGGCTGAAATCCAGTAGTAAATCACAGCAAGAGTAAGTCCACTGAATCAATGGAATTTCTGGAAGCATTGATTTGCCAAATCCTTGCTGATTCCGTGGGTCTATTCTAACTGCAACTTACTACGGCATTTCAGCCATAATGTGCCCAAACCTACTAAAATCAGCTGGCTTAGATGCACCAAACAGTGCATAGTTTCAATCCTATATACGTACCCTTATCTGGGCACAAATAAGTGGGAATTGATTTCAAGAAATTTTATGCATGATTAGGCTGTAAATCTTTTTAAAGCAAAGATTTGAAGTCCAAATACAATAACCCAATACAGTTCCTTCATTACCCAATCTACACAGAAATACCTCCTTCAGTCAATCCATGATCAATACACCATTTCCAGTCAGGGAAATGTTCACAAGATTCATTCCTTCTGTACCTTCCAGCAACCTTTTTGTGTAGCTTCCTGTTCAGTTGTGTGTTTAAGCCCTACAATTGATTTATATTGTCCATTTTATAAACAATTGAAGCCCTTGGCAGAAGGAAGATTCAGTTACACTGCTATGAATTAAAGACATACTGTCAACAAGCAATGAATGTTCATAAGAGATAAAACTGGCAAGTGCTAACTTTGAAACAAATATTAAGAAGAACTCATGCAAAGCTGATGGTTACACTGGAAGAACAGCAATGGTTTACAGTTAATTTTGTTATTGTAAAAAACTCCGCCCACCCGCCACAAAATTAAGCATAAATATTTTCCAAAGTTCTCATAAGGATTTTGCAGTTTATTACACACTTTAAAAAACAATGGCTAAGAGTGAAAATGAAGAAAAGCCAACCCAGGCAGGATATGATAATACTGTAAAAATAAATCCACAACAAAGGCTAATAAGGACAGAAGTGTCAACTTTCAGAAATAGACTGGTGTCCATTTTTAATAAAAGTACTAAAAATAGTGCATAAATGGCACCTTGATCTGTGAAGTTATTCAGGTTTGTGGGAGGATTTTCACTGACACACTGGCGGGTGTGTGGGGCAGAAGGAAATACAGCATATGGAGGTACTGTTCCAAAGTAAGCAGTTTTTGGAATGAAGTAATAAACTCTTGCTGAAATCCTGTTGTTTAGTGTAGCAAGTCAAAAGGAGAGTAAGCCCACTAAATTAGTAAGGATTTGATAAGTTCCACTGTGTCAATGTGTCTACCCTAGTTGCAGATTACTATACTAAGCAACAGGATTTCAGCCAATGTGTCTGAAATTACACAAGTATACAGAAATTTGGGGCTTTCTCACTACTGCATGTGTTCATGGGAAAACCCAAAGGGCTATATTTGATAACCTTTTTGCTCATAGTAGCAAGATTATAAATTGTTTATAAACTGATGTTTTAAAGTGATTTTGATGTCATCTCTTGGCTTAAAAGATCTGGCAGTTAGCCCTTATGGAGAATCTAGCAAGCAAATCAAGGATAGTAAGAGGTTCCAGGGGAAAAAAATCAGAAAAGGGCCGTGTGGTTTTTATATATTTAGTGGCTTAATAAAAATATCACCTGCTCATCCATTTGGATAGTAAGAGGTACAAATCAAAAAGATAAATTCATAGCAAGTCCGACTTCCATTTATTTGCTCAATTTGTAAACAGAGCCAGCACAGGGCCTGGCCTCCTAATTAACCAATTTTATTTATTGAAAGAGACATTTTAAATGCCTCAGACTTCATTTCCTCTCTAGGCATAGGATTGGCTACACCTTCAGTGGGAACAGATGGTTTTGCTTAACTGAATTATTGTCTAGCTCTGTCTGGCATTACAGTTTTAGTTGCTTCTCTTCTTTATGTTTTATGAAATAACTATTTTTAAAAAATAGGACAGAGCTCATTTACACATTCTATTTAATCCTGTTTAAGAGGTGCTTCTGTAGCCCAATAATTCATGTTAGTTTAACATACCCACATGATGTTACTGCAGAATCTCTCCCTTCTCCCCACTTCTCTTTCCTTCTGCTTCTGGAGTATTTTGCCATGTTTGTGATTTATTTATTTATTTATTTATTTATTTATTTATTTATTTATTTGGCATCTCAGGTTGCTTAAGCCATGTCAGTTCCTTTGTCTCAGGTCCTACAGGGGTGTGTACAATTAGAACTCACCTCAAATCAGCTGCTGTCAGTTTTGAAAATGTTCTCTCTAGAACAGTGGTCCCCAACTTTGGGTGTCCAGATGTTCTTAGACTTCAACTCCCAGAAATCCTGGTCAACAGAGGTGGTGGTGAAGGCTTGAGGACCATTGCTCTAGAATACAGCAAAGGAGAAAGGCAAGAAATTACCCTCCTCTTACCTACTTGCCATGATCTGGAAAGCTAGTCAGTTTCACCAGAAAGTAAAAAGAGGTTGCTAAATGTGAACCTTCCCCAGCAGGGCTGCCTCTTGCCCTCTGCTTCATTTACATCATTTGCAGATCTTTCTTTGGAGTTTTGTTTTCTGCTTCTTTCCTTCCATTTCGTCTCCTTCGAATTCTGAAGGAATTCTTCAATCTCCCTTTGTCTATAAAAGGGCAGGGCTTGTGCCTATCCCTTCCAACAGTTGGAGTCAGGGCAGAAAATGGGGAGGGCATGAGAGGGAAGCAGAGGACAGTTGGAGGAGGAAGGAAGAAGACCTGTTAATGTAGAAGCTCAACTTGGACCGCATTCAAGGAAAAATTATATGTCTGAATCCTTGGAGTGAGTTATTCTAGACCTAGGGGGGAAAGGGATCACAATTCCAACACTCATCAATCTAAGCAGCATACCTCATTTGGATGAACCTTAGATAAGCCCAAAATAATGGTGGATAATACTTGTTCTAGGCTACCAGGATCTCACAGAAGGAAGTTAGTTTTTGGATCTTACAGGTCCTTCATCACAATGAGCATTACAAAGTGGGGGAGGAGTGGAGAAAGGATGGAAAAGTTACAAAAATTATGGTCTGGTGCAGGGTTCAAGCTCCTCTTATTCAAAGCAAGTTCAAAAATTGAGTTTACAACTTTGTAGAGCCAGCTTGGGGTAACAGCTTTCAAGTTACACCCCAAGCTATGCCAATGCAATTGTTCTTCCCAGTCTTGGTGAACAAATGGCCAGACACACAACACTGTTTCACTCTTCCACTGTCCCGTGACTTCTTTTCAGTTGGGAACAGAGACATACAGAAAGGTGACAAACTCCATATCAAGCAAAGTTGGGATAAAATTTACACACTAAGTAGATCCATTGCAGCCAAACTGAAAGTATGCTTAGTGGTAATGTAGATAATCTACGATTAACACTAAAAGCATGTAAAAATTGGAGAGACATGACTGGCATAGTCTTTCATGTTCAAGAAATCAGGAAATCCTTTAAAGGAATCCTGTGATAAATTCCTGACAACCAGGCTCTGACACAAACACGCAATCAGGCCCTCAAGGATTTTCTTCTAATGACAGATTTCCCCTCCCCCAATTATAGATTATCCATAACATCTGTTTTTGCCCTAAAATGGCTAGGCTTAAAGGCAGAGGGGATAACTACATGTTATGCAGCAATGTGTCTTATCAGTGATAGGAACAGCTTCTTTCCCTTCTTTTCCTTTTCTGCAAAGCGAAAAAAAAGGTACTGAAGAAGGGAGAGATCAGAGTGAAAACATGGAGGTTGAGGAGGATGCTTGACCATTCCAGATACACATTCTTTTTCCTTTGTATCAAAAGTACTACAACAGTGTTTCTGGAGTGGAAGGATCAGCAAATAGGGCACTATTGTTGCCCAGAAGATGACGAGATGTTTTCACAGTCCTCACATTCTTTCCGAAGTCTTCTTCATTTCTCCATTTCTGCTTTATCTTTGGATTTGTATAAGAGGAGGAAATTGGCCTGGTCTTGTGTTCAAGTTTCAAATCACATAAGAGAAAGCTGTGAATGCATGCAGCAACCTCTGTCTCCCCACTCTCAACGTCCCCATGTTACTGAAGAAGACCTGCACCGAAACTGTAGTTCCCTTTAAGAGGAAATTGGCCTGGTCTTGTGTTCAAGTTTCAAATCACATAAGAGAAAGCTGTGAATGCATGCGGCAACCTCTGTCTCCCCACTCTCAACCTCCCCATGTTACTGAAGAAGGCCTGCACCGAAACTGTAGTCCCCTTTAATTGAACCAAGTGACAGAGCTCCACATAGTCTGGAACCTGCCTTCGGAGGGTTGCCACTGGAATGGAGCTTTGCCATCATGTGCCACAGTCACAGCTTTGTAGACCTTTCCTGTCAAAATTGAATGATGAGGCTTAGCCACAGATCCCTGGTCTTTCTTTACATCAGGGTGAGCAATCTCAGATCTTCTGGGAGACAGTTTTCTGCCCCAAGAACCCTGTGAGGGTTGTGTGGGTCAAGTGAAAAAGGAGACAACTGAAACTAGAAGTGGCCAGAAATCCCCTTGCAGTTGTGGAAAAAAAAAATAGGTACCGTAATTTAGGTGTGCTAAGCATTGGAGGGAGGTGTTACTGAGACTTATTTCAAGGGAGAATCATTGATCCTGGAGGCTTCCAGAAGTGGTGATTCACCTTTTCTTCCCCGGCAAAACTCATTTGTTTAGAGGGGAGGCTGACATTGTGATGAGACCAACCACCATAACTGTTGTAAGCCGCCCAGAGACCTTTGGCTAGAGTGGGTGGCATAAGAGATAAATAAATAAATAAATAAATAAATAAATAAATAAATAAATAAATAAATAAATAAATAAATAAATAAATAGCAGAGGTGGAGGAAAGCAGGGCCCCGCTGCCATAAATAACTTATTAATTAATTAATTAATTAATTAAAAGCTATTTGTGGCAGGGGCCCTGCTTTCCTCCACTTCTGCTCTATACCATCTGAAAGTGGGCACTCAATAAGGGTTAGTAATGGAGCAGTGTGGAGGAGACGAACAGCAAGCAGAACAAGAGTGAAGCACTGCTTCTTCCCATTGCTACTGCTTTGCTTTCAATTCCTTTTCTGCTTCTGGAGGTGGCTCGGCTCATAATTTCACACAGCATCAGGGATGATGCCTGCTTGCGCTCCTTACATTTTATACTACACTAGAGGAGGGCATAGCTAATTGGCAACTTTACCAGAAAAGAGCACTCCTGCTAAGTCAGTGGCAGGCAATTTTGGTGGGGCTGGTGGTCAAATGTTCACCCTTTAACCTCCCTGTGGACCACACCACAAAGCAAGCCCAGATATGGTCCAAAATAGGGCAGAAATGACTAGCTGTCCACTTCTAGGGTTTTCTGGTGGTTTTTTTCTTGTTTGTTTTGGTTCATTTTTTTTTTTCAAGACATAGGGGCCTTCAAATCAACCAAATTTGAAGCACAGCTTCAGGGTACTGCTGGATTCATCGCTGAGCCTGGATGCCCAGGTTTTGGCAGTGAACAGGAGTGCCTTTGCACAATTAAAATTAGTGTGCCAACTGTATCTGTTCAAGTGAAAACATGGAGGTTGAGGAGGATGCTTGACCATTCCAGATACACATTCTTTTTCCTTTGTATCAAAAGTACTACAACAGTGTTTCTGGAGTGGAAGGATCAGCAAATAGGGCACTATTGTTGCCCAGAAGATGACGAGATGTTTTCACAGTCCTCACATTCTTTCCGAAGTCTTCTTCATTTCTCCATTTCTGCTTTATCTTTGGATTTGTATAAGAGGAGGAAATTGGCCTGGTCTTGTGTTCAAGTTTCAAATCACATAAGAGAAAGCTGTGAATGCATGCAGCAACCTCTGTCTCCCCACTCTCAACGTCCCCATGTTACTGAAGAAGACCTGCACCGAAACTGTAGTTCCCTTTAAGTGAACCAAGTGACAGAGCTCCACATAGTCTGGATCCTGCCTTTGGAGGGTTGCCACTGGAATGGAGCTTTGCCATCATGTTCCACAGTCACAGCTTTGTAGACCTTTCCTGTCAAAATTGAATGATGAGGCTTAGCCACAGATCCCTGGTCTTTCTTTACATCAGGGTGTGCAATCTCAGATCTTCTGGGCTTTTAGCTTTAAATATTGCCTTTTAATGATGTAAGCCACTTGGGGTCCTTCTTAAAGAGAAAGGTAGGGTAAAAATATTCTAAACAAACAAACAAGATTTAAAGGAGAAGAGGGGCTGTAAGATCATTAGTGCAATATGACTTAACTAGCTCATTTCTATCAGGGAAGGCTCCAGTGACTTACTTACAACTACCTCAGCATTTTATTTATTCATTCATTTATTTATTTTGAGGTTTGAGGTGCCTAACTTGATTTTCTGTACCCAGTTCAAACTTGACAAGGAAGTTCGTCGCATCACAAGCTTCCATGTAAATAAGCCCAACTGTGCCTTTGTTCTTTTCAGATAAGAGTGAAGACTGAATGAAATCTCCAAGCCACAAAGATTGTCCTCTAGGGTGACAGAGAAGGAACTTGTAGTATGCCTCCTTGTTACAGTGCTGGTCACATGCTGAATTTCTGCAATAAATTTGTTTGTATTGTAGTTAACAATACCTAATTTGGAGTCATTGTTCAGCTTCTGGTTCACCAAGGTAAGCAAGCTGATAGCCAGGAGAGTTGGATCTGTTGTAGCTTAGTCAAAGCTGACAGGAATTGCGGAACCTCAGCAGTGGTCCTATCACAACCTCTTCCACAGCGACCAGGAGACTGATTCAAAACAATGGCATGCTTGTTATAGGTCCTAATTAGTAGATGGAACCACCTGTTTCTGACTCATTCCAAGCCAAACAAGGTACTTCCTGGAGTCCTTCGTTTAGGAAGAATGGAAGAATGTGACTCAGAAGTTGGAGAGAAAATCAGACAGTAAGTAGAAGGTGACATGGCAAGTCTGCCTGCGGGTGCCAGTCTGGGACCAAGCTAGTTTTCCAAATGCAAGAGTGATGTAAATGGCTCTTTCCTGTAACCAGTTGGTTACAGGAAAGTGCAAGTTACCCTTTTGCCTGCTTGTTTATGTACAGCCTAAGCTTTATGTACAACCCCTTCCATTCTAAGAAACAGCAAAATGAATGCCTTTCCCCATTCTTCCACAAAACGTTAGACCTGCCTCACTCTGCAAGGAGGAGAGAGTTGAAAAAGAGGTTCTTTAAATTTGTGGTCTGAGAAAGGGGTGTGAATTTTACATCTGCTTTTCTACAGTTTTCCTGCTTAGTTGAGCCTCAGATGGTGCCTTACTGCAATGCTTTAGCAGCTGCATTTATTCGTCATAGTTTTCCAGTTACGATCCAAGGAGCTGTTTTTGACCCACTTCGTCCTTACTGGTCTGAGCCCAACATACAGTATCATAATCTGCTCTCCATTCTTTGTACCACCCCAGCCATTCTGAAAGCACCTGCTTGTCTATACTGTCCACAAACCTGATTTAATCCATGGTACCTACAGTATTAGTAGATACCCTACAAATATGGGTCTCTCTTTCCTTCTCATATTTGTTGGACTCCCATCAGCCCTTGCCAGCAGACCAATGATCAGGGATGCTGGGAGCTGCAGTCCAATAACAACTGGAGAGATGTACTTTGCCCACTCTTGCCTTAGAAGTAATGACAGTGTCTAAAGGCTGTTTGGGGATGTCAAGTTACCAGGCTGGCTGGATTTTGACAAGATATTAGGTGTGCCACTCAGTGCCTATTTAGTTTACCAGGTGGCCCAAGTTCTGTACTTGCTTCCCCCCCTTTTAAAAAAAGACAGTCTCCAGCCTTTACAGATTTGAAGATCAAAAGCAAAATGCACAGTCACTCTTTGGGCTAATTGTTTCACAAGTACAAACGAGCCTTTCCCTGCGATTAGCCAATGAGTGAAGCCATACACAGTTTAACAGCAACTCAGAGCTCTGGTAAATCAAAGACATGTCGGTAAATGTTTCTACCAGCAAATGCTACATAGAAAGCGGATGATCCGGAGCAACCAATGCTGACTGGGAAATTTGGGAGCTGTAGTTCCAGGCAAAGGAACTTTCCAAAAATCTGATGGGATTACTCTTATTGTATTTCCTGCTTTGGCACAAGGAGTTGAATGACTCTTGGGAATGTCATTCTAGAAGTCTCTGAGTCTCTGGACATCTACATTCCACAGTCCTCTGGGAGTTTACCTGGTAGTCCAGTTGGGTACTGCCCTGAGGAAAAGAATTGGCCAAAAAAGGCAAGTAAGGGAATAAATTATTAGAAACTTCTGCATTTTGTAGTTGAGGTTGAACTCATGGTTGTTGTGAATATTAAATTTCTTGATAATGTACTTTCTAAGGAACTAATTCTACATTTATTCTTCTTAGAGCAGGATATGGCTCCTTGAACTGCTCATTCAAATATATTCTATTAAATGGATCTCACATCTCAGTAGATGTGCATAGGAAGTTGATGTATTTGTATTTAGTGTATTGTTATATGTTATATGACATTGAGTCACCTCTGACATATGTAACAACCCCTTGAATGAGAAAATTCTAAAATTTCCTGTCCTCAGCAGCCTTCCTCAGCTCTTCTAAACTCAAACTGGGGGATTCTTTTAGGGAGTCAGGCCATCTCTTATTTGGTCTTCCTCTTTCCCTGTTGCCTTCCATCTTTCCCAGCATTATTGACTTTTCCAGAGAATCTTGCCTTCTCCTGATGTGCCCAAAGTAGGATAGCCTCGGTTTCAACTTTTTTGACCCCAGGGATAGTTCAGGCTTGATTTGCTCTAGGATCCACTTGTTTGTCTTTCTGGCAGACCAGGATACCCACAAAACTCCAGCACCATATTTCAAATGAATCAGTTTTATTCCTGTCGGCTTCATTCATTCATTAATTCCATTTCTATATTGCTCTATTAGCGTTATCACAACATACAATAAAATCACACAATAAAAACACTGTGTAATAAGTACTGCAAAATACAATGAAGTACAATAAACTCTGTTGCTAACTAAAACAATGAACATACAGTACCTTTAAACAGAAATACACAACTTGCTCTGTTGCTAACTAAAACAATGAACATACCTTTAAACAGAAATACACAAATTAAAATCCATTTGGGCATCTCAAGTCAATATTCACCGCTTGTAGAAGACAGCTTTATATAATTCTGTCTAAACTGGCTTCCTAAAAACTAAGAGTGACGGTGCCTGGCAAATCTTTGTAAGAAGCTTATTCCAGAGAGAAGAGGCCATAATCAAGAAAGGTCAGTTCCTAGTGTTGCCTTTTTTAGGCCACCTTGGTTGTTACAATTCTGAACTTGAAGGATTGTGAGGAGTATATGGGATGGGTACCTATTTTGTAGGAGAGACATTCTGCCAAATATTGAGGTCCCAAACCTTTAAGCGCTTCATAGGTACATGCCAAATATTGAGGTCCCAAACCATTAAGTGCTTCATAGGTACAACCAGCACTTTATACTGAGCACAGAACCTAACAGAGAGCCAATGAAGGTGTGCCACAACTGGGGATATGTGTTCATATATGCGGGTACTTGTAATCTGTCTGGCTGCCACATTTGGGATTTGCTGAAGTTTCCACACTGACTTCAAGGGCAGCCCTGTGTAGAGAGTGTTACAGTAGTCTATTTTAGAGAATACAAACAAATGAACCACTGTTTTAGGCATTTCTTATCCAGGTTGGGGCATAGCTGGGCAATTGACCAAGTTGATAGATAAAAGGCACTTTCTTGGACTACAATTTCTAGACTCCCTCAGCCAACATGGTCAGTGGCTATTCTGGATGGTGTTAAACCAAAAAGGTATTTTTCAAGTTCTGCTATGAATCTGATTCCTTACTACAATATGCCCTATAACAGTGGGGAAAAACTGCAGCTAATGGGAGATAGGGTAGAAGTAATGCAATGTTGAAACATACTGGCAGAAAAACCATGCAACAATGAATATACCTAACTTGTGCAATAAGTAAAAAATGTGTATTGACATGTATAATATACAAGGATGTTTGGAGGCAAGGTTGCCTAACAATGGTTGTCTAATATGCAAAATAGGCTGCCCAGATCTGCAGAACTGGAATAAAAGCAATGTCACTCAGATTATACATTTTGGTAAGTGCGTATTTCCTTCTCACATACCACCATCCCTGCAGCAAATCTTTCAGTGATTGGTGTCTGACAGATATGCTAACCTAATAAAGCCACACTATCTTGCTACTTACTAATTACAATACACAAGCAGCTGATTTACATCATGTGTTTAAGGCAAGCTCACTGTTCAAATAAACATTCTTCCTTTTAGAGATACCCTGCTTCTAGACACAGGATCAGTGTCTCCTCTGGTGAGGCCCTTCATCCCCATACTTCCCAGGAGAGCTGTAAAATCATTCTGGTTTGTTGATAGTTAGTAGCCGGGACTAAGCAGGTTTATAGTAACTTTTATTAAATCAGCTGCTCTATCTTCCTTCCATGCTTTGTGTTACTTTTAATATTTCCATCTTGCAAAAAAATTGGAAAGAGGAGACTCAGAAAATAAACTGAACTAATTTGAGATTGTTCCTTTAAATCAGCAATACTGGTGCATTAGCAGAGTTCTGGCGTTTAAAAAGTCAGCTGGGAAAGGGACTGACTTGTTCATGATGCATCCTTTCTCTGAGGCAGAATAACATGAACAAAATTGGTGCCATAATCCTGTCTTATGGAACCGTATGTTTTTCTAACCGCTAACCAGGTTCTCTGGACATAGTTATACATTTGTTTTCATTTATCAGCTTACCAGCAGAAAACCTCGCAGCGCATAAGCCTTTTCAGAGTTTCCATGGTTTCAACAAGGCTTACTTCGAGGTAAGTGGGTATAAAATGGGGGGGGGGAATGTAAGATTGCAGTCTTCCAGATATTTCCACTGAATGGATGCAGTACTCCTTAGGGAGAACTTTATTGGTGGTTGCCTTCAGGCATGCAAGACAGTGCCTTGTCGCAGGCAAACGAACGAAAGATTAAATCAAGTTTTTTTAAAAAATGGTAAAGAACAAAGCAACCATTCAGAAATGTAATTTTACTAAAGGGGGGGAATGTAAGATTGCAGTCTTCCAGATATTTCCACTGAATGGATGCAGTACTCCTTAGGGAGAACTTTATTGGTGGTTGCCTTCAGGCATGCAAGACAGTGCCTTGTCGCAGGCAAACGAACGAAAGATTAAATCAAGTTTTTTTAAAAAATGGTAAAGAACAAAGCAACCATTCAGAAATGTAATTTTACTAAAAATAAAAGAAATACTGAACACTCACTAAATAATAATTTTTTAAAAAACAAAACAGTTGGTTTAAGAATGGAGTTAAGACTACCGCACATTGGCTCAAACACAAAGCCAGGAAATTAGAAACTAAGGCTGATGTAATCAACGTGCTCTTCCCCGATCAGCAATGACAGTGCAGGGCATCACAAACTATGCTTGCTTATAGCTCACACATGATGTACCCCAGAGCTCAGCATGCAATTTTTTTTAAAAAAAGAAACTATGCTTGCTTATAGCTCACACATGATGTTCCCCAGAGCTCAGCATGCAAAAAAATTTTTTTTAAAAAAGAATAAAGCAACCATTCAGAAATGTAATTTTACTAAAAATAAAAGAAATACTGAACACTCACTAAATAATAATTTTTTAAAAAACAAAACAGTTGGTTTAAGAATGGAGTTAAGACTACCGCACATTGGCTCAAACACAAAGCCAGGAAATTAGAAACTAAGGCTGATGTAATCAACGTGCTCTTCCCCGATCAGCAATGACAATGCAGGGCATCACAAACTATGCTTGCTTATAGCTCACACATGATGTACCCCAGAGCTCAGCATGCAATTTTTTTTAAAAAAAGAAACATGTTGCATTACTCATTACTTCTTGGCAGCTGAGTTGCCAGTAACATTGTTTCCACTGTGTGTGTAATTTGTTTTGTTCAGAGTTAATGTGCAAAGAAGTATCCTCTTGCTTCCTTTAGTGGCCAATTCCGACACTGTACTTCGGAAATAATTAGAACGATACAGAAGAGAGACCTAAGGGTTCCCTTGCCATTTAGGACTGATAAACAAATGGCATAAAATCTGAAAAGTCACTGCCAAATGCTTCTAAAAATCACTTTCAAGCCCTTAAAAAAGTAACATTTGAAACTAATGAAACATTATTTGTTACATCTAAAAGTAACTATAACTACTTATCAAATTACTTTTGCTGTACTTTTATAACTATATATGTTACTCACTACAAAGAAAGCAAATAGTTACAAGTAACCATGGGGTCATCCAGCTGGAGCCTTTGTCTCCCCATCCCTTTGCACTGCTCATGCCACTTGGAGGCTCATGAGCTCAGACCTTCCCGAGGTTTCTGCCCCACACGTGTATTCAGAACTGAAGTTTTCTTTTAGAAAACAGCCACACTTCAAGCTATGGTTCTCCAATATGCTTCAGAAAATATAATTTCTATTTTTGTTTTGTTTTCTCATTTTTGCAGGTTAGTGCTAAATTGAAATTTTTCTCATGGGAGAAGTTTGGAAAGCTGATATCTTTAAAAATGACTGTTTAAAAAACTTCTTAAGAAAACATAGAAATGCTCCATCTAAATGAGCTCTATCTTACTTGTAACTAGTTACTGCCAATTTTGGATACACCCACATTTTTCTTTGATCTTTTAAGATTAATAAGGATAGAATGGGGTCGCGAAGAGTGAATGAAGAGTGAAGAGGATAGAATGGGGTCACGAAGACCCATTAATAAGGATAGAATGGGGTCGCGAAGACCCCCTTCGTGGGGTCACGAAGAGTCGGACGTGACTAAACGACTAAACAACAACAACAAGGATAGAGACCCTGGGGCCTGGAAAGAACTCAATCATGATCCTGTGTCACCTTATGAAGCACCTTGTTCCATCACTAGAAGACTCTGCCTATGGGTCGATCCATGCCTGTTCACTGCCTTCACTATTCTAATGGTTGGATATATGTCGCATTACAGCAGTGCCCCCTCAACACAGCTTAAAAACTGATTAAATGTTTTCCCAAGGGGATGCACGCACCAACCCAAAAACCATGTGAATGCTCCGTAACATTAAGCTGAATTCAAAACCCCCAATCCATCACCCAATTTATTTCATTACTGTAAAGTCATCTTTAGGCTGGTGACTCAGCTTTGATCATTCCACACTGGGAGAAGTGCTAGGAGTCTAGACTCCTAACGTTATTAGTAATATTACTCTTAGCTTCCCTCAGAACATAAAAGTCTGGATCCAAGAGGAAAATCACAAAAATAGCAGAGGCATATTTGTATTAAAGATCTGTTTACAGATAAACAACAGCTGACAGATAAAACAACATTATCAGGACGATATCTTCCTCCAACCAAAAAGAAGCCATGTGCTTCAATATAGGAAAGGGGTGGTGGTTACTCTCTGAGTGACCAGCAGCCCTTTGGCCACGGAGACAATTAAATCTAGGGATGAGAGCTGAAAGCTGTTAACTCTGGTGCTTATTCTACAGAGCTGCACACTCCATTTCAAACTTTGCTTTATGTCTCTACATCTGGCCATGTTCTTGATCACAATACATTGTTATGTCAACAACACTGTTTTAGTCTGGAGGGGGGGGGCAAATAACTTCTTCGTTTTCCTCAGTTAATTCCAAGCATACTAGTTCTGAGACAGACCACAATTTCCTCCAGCTTCTTGCATTTGTATTAACTTCAAATACAGTGGTGCCTCACTTAACAATTTTAATTGGTTCAAAAAAACACATTCCTATGGGAAAACATTGCTAAGCAAAACGCGTTTTCCTATAGAGATGCAATGAAAACCAGATAATCCGTTCCAATGGGAATGGATTACCGTCCTTAAGCGAAAATTGCCATAGGAAACATCGCTAAGCGAAACGCGTTTCCTCCATTGGAATGCATTGAACAGGTCCATTTTCGCTATTTTTAAAGTGTCTTAAAATGTTCAAAAACTGTTTAAAATGCTTGGAATCGTTAGTGCACCTTGTAAAACCATTGCAAACTTAATTTGGCTTTGTTCCGAGTCTTCGTTAATTTTTGGTGAATTTCCCCCCCCCCATTGGAATGCGTTGAACTGTAGGTTTGACAGCTGTCAAAAAGAGGAGCTGGATTTACAAGGTGCACTAACAATTCCAAGCATTTTAAACAGTTTTTGAACATTTTAAGACACATTTAAAATAGCGAAAACCGACATCGCTAAGCGAAACAGGGGGACCTAAACTGTCATTGCTAAGAGAAGCAAGGTTCCGAACATCACTATGCGAAATTTCCCCATTGGAAACATCACTAAACGGAGTGCAAAATCGCTCCAAAAACCTAATCGCACTGTATATGGGTAGAACCGTCTTTGTAACAATGAAGCACCAAAAATAAAATGCCACTTTGAATGATTAATATGTATTTGTTTGTAAACAGAGCCTTTAATGGTTTCAGCAATCTGCCATTGTTGGCACTTCAGCTGGTCAGAAGAACAGAACCTGGAAGAACCTGTTCAAAAAATCACATCAGAAAGGACATTGCCATGGCAACTAAAATATCTAAGCTGTAAGCTGCTTAGATGCTTCCCATGTGTTTATAAATAACAACTTTTTCAAAAGTACACTTATATGGTTTTTTCTCTGTGGGGCATATTGTGGCCAAACAGACCTCTCCCATTAAAGATCAGGTAGCCATCTTTCACTGTTAAAAGGAAAGGAACATGAACAATGTAGCATCAAATTACACTTTAAATTTTGCATGGGATATGGATAAAAATATAAGGAAATGGGAGGGATGGCCATCTGGAGGTCACGAAGTTGGAAAAGGTTCTAGATTGACTCTCAGTTTAAAATATTATGGCTTTAACTTCTAGCGAGGCAGCTTCACTAAGATTAAACATAATTGACTTATAATTTGCTAGACTTGAATTCTTTGCCTAGAAATTGCCCCTAAATATATTCCGGATCCGATATCATACAATCTTCTGGGTAAACTGTAACAATCATAGACTGATGGTGCTGTTATCTATTGTAGTCTGTGACTTTGGAAACAAATAGGCACATGTTAAAGGGATGATTAAAAGGCTAAGAGTAGAAAGATGCAAAAACAGCCCAAAAATCTTTTGAAATATATGAGTGCCAAAGATGATTATGAAAAGGAGCAAATGTGCTTACTTGGAATAGATTCAACCATAAAGCCTATACCAACCACTTATAGAAAGAAGGTTGCTATGTAGGTCCAAAACAGATTTCTCTGAAAGTGTGGTGAATTAACAACGTAACAGGTCAAAATATTTACTTGTCGTGCACACTTCACTATTGCTCTCCACAGCAGCAAAGAGGAGTAATTTCAAGCCTCTCATTGAAGCATCCACAATATTTTCTAGGTCATTGACCAGACTTAAAATGGTATGTGCTTAAAGATTTATCTGATTTAAAAAGATTACTGTTTGCTCCCATGGCCCCCACTGATTTATACATATTAGTCTTGGGAAATGTTTTGTCGTCTTAATATATGAGGAGACATGCTAAATACTGTAGTGCAGCATATATAGCAGTACACAACACTGCAAACAGTATAAAAACAAATTCCCCCAGCCAGTTGACTTTATTTAGGTTCCAGTTTCAAACTTGAGGAGGGAGTAAACAAACAAAGAAACGAACAATCACTGAACCTTCTTCTACTAATCTAGGAAGAAGGATCTTTGCCAGTAGCCAGACTATAAGCAGATGATAATTCGTTCTTCATTGTTTGTCTCAAATAATCATCTGAGCCTTTTTGAACCGGTTTGATGCATCTTTCATGGGGATGATTATTTATTTTTAATATGGAAATGAGAGGTAGTGCTGGAAGATGAGACTCCCAAGTTAGAGAGTGTTTAATCAGCTAGTGTGGAAATAGTATAAATAGTGCTGTTCTTAATAAAATAAGCAGACTAAAGCCAAAAGGACCTCTAGGTGCTTATGTATTCAGAAACAAATGGAAATTCTGGAGCCTCTGACTCAGGACTACTGCTTTCTTCAAGTGCATGCTGACTGACAAAGGTGGTGTCACTGATCATACATTTAATGTCCTTTCACTGCTACCACTCATTGTCGTCGTCATCATGTGGTGGCAAGTCAATTCTGACTCGTGACAACTCTTTTTAGGGTTGCAGAATACTAAGCGGTTTACCTTTCCCTTCTTCCTGAGGTAGGCTGCATCAGAAAGTGTTTCTTCTTTCCTGACAAAATCCATCTTGCCATGAACTTTTGGATTTCAAGTTCTCCCCACTGGTACAGACCTGAAGAAATTGTGTTTTTATCTATGAAAGCTTGTGTATTGTATGATTTTTTTTACTGGTCTACAAAGGTATCACCTATTTTTACATTTGGATTTTTTTTAATCACATGGCTACACTTTATTTCTTCTGTCTGTCTCTCATGACTTTTCTCTTGTATTCAGACAACCACGAACTACAGATAATCAATACACGACAATTTTTAAAAACAGTGAAGTAATTAGATGTGTTTGCTACGACAGTAATTTCAATGGATGTTATTTTAAAATAATTTTTTTCTCATTATGGATATACTGTAAACATAAGAAAGCAATAAGAAGTTCTTGCTCAGTCAATTGGTCCATCATCTAAGGCAGTGGTCCCCAACCTTGGGCCTCCAGATGTTCTTGGACTCCAGCTCCCAGAAGCCTTCACCACCATCTCTGCTGGCCAGGGTTTCTGGGAGTTGAAGTCCAAGAACATCTGGAGGCCCAAGGCTGGGGACCACTGATCTAAGGCAGTGGTTCCCAAGCTTGGTTAGCCCAGGTGTTCTTGGACTGCAGCTGCCAAAAACCTCAGCCAGCACCTCTAGCGTTGAAGGCATCTGGGACCTGCAGTCCAAGAACACCTGAGTTATCCAAAGTTGGAAACCACTGCTGTAAGGAATCTTTTTCATGTGCTGTTGGACACAAAATGTGCAGTTGGGGAAAATGTGTCACTGGAACCTGATAAATTGACCCTGATGCCTCGCTATTACAGCCATTACATTTTTTTCCCTGAGTCCATCTCAAACAGTTTCCAACTGCATTTTTTTTTAACTGCACATTTTTTCCAACTGCAGTTTTATTTCCATCTGCACATTTGTGTCTCACTGCTCATGAACAAAACAAAAGAAAACCCTTCTGTATCCTGTACGGCACAGGAGTGCCCTTTTAGTTAAATAAGCTGTCCCCCAATGTTTATTATATTTTAAAAAACCTCAGTATAAACCCCCAGAATTTATTGCTTATAAAAAGGATACTTATTGAGCTACTGATGAAACACTTTGCTTCCATGATCCACTTGATGGGGTTTACAAATGATTCAAATTTTGCACCAGTCTCATGAAAATTTTCATGGCACTCTAATTGTTCTGGTTGAGGGATTCTTTTTAAAAATCACATTTCAAAACTCTGGTAACACTGAGCATGCATTCGCAATGCAATGCACACCCATTAAGATGATTCCTTCTACATGGAAAAAACTTGCACATCTTTTATGCTATACTGTTGGAGGAAATAAGTGATATGCTGGAAGGAGTGGCTTAGCCCTTCTGCTTATGACTTCTTGTCGAAGTCAGCATCTTATCTCTTAATCTGCTTTATCCAGCTAATAAAATATAGTCCCAGGTGAATGTTTTTATGGTAAAATATCAGGCAATCCCTGATATTTTTGCAGTATTCACGTTGGTGGAAATCTCAACCTAGTGGTGAATGAGTCTTTTTCTTTCATTCTTTTGCAGCTCCAAATTCCAAAACGTGGCTCCAAATGCAGGAAAAGAAACCTGAATTCTCATTTAATTCAGTAATGCTCTAATGCAGTGGTCCCCAGCCTTGGGCCTCCAGATGTTCTTGGACTTCAATTCCCAGAAATCCTGGCCAGCAGAGGTGGTGGTGAAGGTTTCTGGGAGTTGTAAACATCAAGCATTAGAGCTTAAAGAAGAATATTAAAACAATACTAAAGAAATAATAGAGGCAAAATATAATTTTATAAAATTCTGAATAATTTATCTCGTAGAACATAAATCTGCATTATTAGCCTCAATTGACTATGATCCAGAACTGTGGACTGAAACCAAAGACCAGGAAGCATGCAAGAAGACCACTCCTGTAGTTAAAATGAAATAAAAGCTTTTATGCTAATGAAACTCTTTAAACTGTGTAACAGATGAGAAGCAAAAGTAAAAGGTAACAGGAGTAGAATCAGAATCCTAAAGGAACCTTTTCAGGAACTGGCATATACAGATGAAGATAACTATTATAATATCAGTGAACAGAAATAGAAGAGGAGAACAAAAAAAGGGGAAAAATAGATCTTGTCCATAAGAGCCAAGGAATCAGAAAAATATTTAAAACATGTTTAGGGCTGCTGAAAGATCTACAGAGGAATATATGTACAGTATTTATTGACTGGGGTAAAATAAAGAGAAGTATACTGAAGAAGTACAGAGAAGAGAAGATGCAAATGTGACAGATTCCTCTGAGGAAGAAAAAAACCCCTGCAATTTAGAAAGTAAAATAAAAGCCAATCTCAAACTAGTTGGAAAAAATAAATCACTAGGAGTTTGTGGGATATTTCTAGCTATAAATACTGCATCTATCAAAATCCTAATAAAAACATGTAAAAATCCCAAAGCCACCTAGAAAACAAACCAATTTACAGTCTGGAAAGTTCAAAATGCATCTCAATCTAAAGAAAAAAAGACACCAAAATTACATTAACCACAGGGCTATTAATTATTTCCCATGCAAACAAAGGGATGTTAAAGGTTTCAGAACAAAGTCTTTTACTACATATTGAGCAAGAAATGCTAGATGTCAAGGTGATTTAGAAAGGGAAAAGACATTAGAGATGATACTGCAAATGTGTGTTGGGTGCTGCAGAGTACCAAGACATTTCAGAAGAAAATCAGTTTGTGGTTCATAGAGTAAAATGAAGTCTCTGACTAGCAGAATCATGAAAAACTCTAGATCATTCTAAAAAAGAAAGGTGAGCCACAACACCTTTTTGGGTACTCTGTGACAAAAGAATATAGACAGTTACAGAATGGTCCCCAAGCAGAAACAATTATAAAAATGTAACTCTTGATATAGTGACTTGAAACTTGGCACCCATTATCTACCTCATAGCCTCTAAAGGTGTGTGCCAAATTTCAAAATGATCCAGTAAATATTACCAGAGTGAAAGCAAGTTAGAAATGCTGAAAAGTGATGCAGTGGTCCCCTTTTCTCCAATTTTATGAAAGGCATATTGTGAGGGGGCTGCCATGGCAAGTACCCCAAGCAGATTGTCTGATCTCACCCTGCAAGGCCTACCATACATGAAGGTCACTGGACCTCAGATGGGTGCTGGGATTGGTTGGTCCACCCAGGAAGTGAAAGCAGCTGTAGGGGATAAAGACCAGCACCTGGGCTAGGGGGAGTGGGTCAGATTGTATAAGTAGATGGGGGCTATAAATAGAGGTGGAGGAAGCAAAGGGAGAGGAAGAGATGGAATCTAGTAAAGCCAGGGTGGGGGATTCAGGAGAGGAAGGATACTGGATTGATATGGGCAAAGAGTCAGTGCCTGCCTACCTGGCCAGGGATCTATCTGAATATGTCTTCAGGAAAGACTTTTGGACTGAGATCTTAGTGGATCTACCATTCCCTTAAGAAATGGCAAGGACCTGAGCCACTGAAGACCTTGGCAGAGGCTCCAGGACTGCAGCCAGCAAGTTCCTCCTCCTCCTCCTCCGCCTAACCAGGTTCCAAAATTCCAAGCATCATTGGGAACGCCTGTGGTGTCTGCAGGAAGGGTTAGTCCAGAGTCTGGGCGAGAGTCTGAGAAGAGTTATAAGCCCTTCCTGAAAGGGGTTGAGGGCATGGACATGCACGTTGATGGCTCCACAATTCCTATTCCATCCACCCCAGTGAAGGCAACTGGGGACCAAGAAGAGACTGAATTTATGAGGAAGCCAGTGAAAAAAATTTGCCCTCTGCCTGAAGATGGGACTCAGGGGGAGGGGGTTGCTAGTGAAAGAACCAGGTCTGTAATTTCTCCCTCCCATCAAAGTAGGTGGTAGTAGACGAACTACAGTCAAAGTTATGTCATGTAGTTTCTGTTTTTCAATCTGGAGGAAGAATCTTGCTAGTACTCTCATGTTTTTAATAGTTTCCCACGGACTATAATAGGAAATCAACAAATGGCTATAATGGCTGCTTTGTCCAGATGGCATTTTCAGGCATAGTAACCCATTATGAGGAAATCATATAGACTCCAAAAGCAGACAAACAGACTCACAGCTTTCATGCTGTGCATCTCTGCATTTACTTATTGTGTCAAAAGGATTTTTTTAATTGGAAGAATTGGATGAAATTGGATGAACCCACAACATTTTACAAATTTGTGAAAGGCTCTTCATTGCTTTTCGAAGAGTAATTCATTTTCTCTCAACAACATTCTGCTGCTGTTGTTTTTCTACACTGAAGCAGCGTGCTTCATGGCACTGCCACTGATGATAAAGATGCAAAATTCCAGACAGACTAGGGACTAGGGAGATAGCATTACACTGTTTCACACACATCACAACTCACTGCCTCCTGAATATATGCTTCTGAATGTTGCACATTATTTGTCTAATATTGCCCCTGTGAAGTATATAATGATGTTCATACATATAGCTGAAAAGAACCATGTGAAGAGAGGATATGGTAACAGGAAGCAAATCTCTCCTAAATTTGAAAACACATCTTTCACAAACAAAACAAAGCAAAAAGTTGGTCTTCTGCAATGTTGTAAATGTCCTAAGTGTAGCTGTGCAGATGCTATATGTTGTTTTCAATCAAACTAATGAAATATTTGCTGCCTGAATAATTACATCAGTAGGTTTCATTAATGTATCATCATCATAAATCATCATCATCATCATCATCATCATCATCATCATCAGGAAGGGATCCTATAGATCATTGAATCCAGCCTGATGCCAAAATCACTGAGCTATCTTTGACCCAAGGGGTGTCCTAGGACTGTGCAGCTTGCCTAAGATCATCCAGTCTGGCTCTATTCACAGGACACACCATGGGGAATCAAACTCCCAAACTCTGGCTTTGCAACCAGATACCTAATCCACTGAGCAGTCCAAGCCAGTTCATCAAAGTTAATCAGATTTTTTTTTCATACATTGAAGACAGGGTGAGTATACAATTTTCAGCAGTTTTAAATTTGTTCTACATCTGCCAGAACTGGGGTAGTGGAGTGGTGGACAGTAAATTCTTCATGCTTTACCCAACTGAAACTGTGTAAGATGCAAGAAAATAGTGGACAAGTGGAGAACTTGTAACTGGGAAAGACAAAGCACTTCCTTGACTAATACTGGAGTAGATGGTCAGTTACTCCTCCAAATTTTGAATGGACAAATGAACCCAACTGTGTCAGTGGTCCCACTGAGGCAGGATGTTGGACAGAAGTCCAGGTTCCAATCAGCAGGATGAGAAGGAAGTAGCAGGGCTGGATCATTGCCTTTTGAAGGAAGTGAATACATGTCATTTAAAAATCTACCCTGCCCTACAAGACCATGTAGTCAGGAGTCTAAAATTACCTCAATATGTCACTGCCTGGACAGAGTGGTGATTTTTGTTCTTTTTTTTCTCAACTTTACTCCTGTGCCTTCGATAGCAACCAGTATGGAATGAAACAGGGGGTGCTTTCGCTGCCATTGGGACAGTGTGTGTGTGAGAGAGAGATATCTGCTTGTTTTCCTGGATGTTAGCTGCTGTTAGTGTCTGTGTGAATCAACATCAGTTCAAAGCAGTAAATAGACAAAAGTGGTGTAATTTGTTCAAATTAAATTAATTTGTAAAGCATTTGAAATAAAATTAAGTGACAAGTCCTCCTTTGCTGGGACACTGGCATGTGAAACTTTTTTTTTTAAATGACCTGTTAGATACATTTTTCCCCTTCGTAATTCTCTGCAAATAAAAAGACTATGTAGTTTAGTTTTTCCTAATGAAAGCTGAAAAGTGAGAAACAGAGTTGGAACAAGATCCCTGTAGTTTGCTCCATAGAACACCTTTTGAGTGATAGGCTTGGTGACATTGAAGCACTTAAAAAAACAAAAACAGGGAATGGCCTCCATTCAGCTTTGCTTTCTTTCTAAAGATGTATGCTTTGGCACTACAATTCCGGGCTGTTACTTCAAGGTGTCGGCCATTGCAGGACCCATCCAGGCTAACTATCATGGAGCCAAGTTTAGCTTCACTTTGAATTTAGTCTGCAAAGTGACAAGGGCCATTGTGTGTGCACTTGTGTTAGCAGAACCAAAATTAAGAATGCCAGGCCTCACATCAATCTTTTGAATCTTGGTTTTAATTAGGGCTGTGTTACATAACACAGCTCCTGGCTCCAGAAAATACAAAGGCAACTTAGGTTCACACGTACTTTCTCCTCTCCTGGGGCGGGGGGGGGGCAAGAAATCTTAGAGTAGCCCATAGAAAAATAATTAACATTCTTAACAGAACCTTGAAACATTCACAGAATGCTCTTCTTTTCCAGTGCCTGTTAAAAATGTTGCCCAGCTATGGCATATATATGCAGCTTTTTAGCTGGATGAAAGCGCCAAATACAACGAAGAGGTGTATGTTTTGCCTTCACTTGACGTAGCTCTGTTAATTATATGTCTCAAAATGTGGAGCCCTTTCAAGACATATGCCCCAAAGCTTTGCATCATTTTGCAGTGGCTCCCAAATCCAACATTGTTCTTTTAAATGGAAATCTACAGTCATGGGAAAAAGAAAGTACACCCTCTTTGAATTCTATGGTTTCACATATCATAATAAAAATCTGGTCCTTAGCAGGTCTGAAAATTAGGTAAATACAACCTTAGATGAACAA